TTTATATACAGTATATATTTAAATATTCAAATATACTGTATATAAAATATTTAAATTTTATATATATTTGATGTGAACATTTTTACAAGAACAGAAATGTGTATTAATTAGATATAATCGCTTATTGATCAGTTCCAGTCTCCATTCTGAATGACTGACAGCTGACTGGATCCGTTTTGTTTCTTTTAGAAACATTTGAAACTGACCTTACTGCTAAAAAGTGATCGGAGCAAATCTGTGCAGTGTTTAATAAATGAGCTCAATGCTAAGTAGCAAAGTTAGATCACGTTTTCTGCTTTTTAACCTCAAAAAGTTACTAAATAGAACAAAACTTTGCTGTATTTATCACCCAGCAGTATACAACCATCATGGTTCTCTCACTCTCACACACTCAGTGGAGTGGAAAGCTCAAACAATTACCTATTTTCTACAGTATATAAGTCATTGGGAAAGCTGTTCCTTCTCAAAATGGCGCCAGCAGTACCGATGTAGGAAGTGTGACGTCTGAACGACCTCAGAAAAGTTCTGATGGGACAGTCAGGTTGACAGCAGAACAGGACCAGCTCAAAAGTAGATTTCTGATGACTTAGAGCAGTTGTCATAGCTTTAACGCAAACACAATTTACCAGTGTGCATTGCCAATGCAATGCACACTATTGTGATTCGTTTCCCATCCAAGTCATCTCAACTTTGCCATGCTTCTCCTACTGCATACTTTGTCCTAGAGCTGCCATTGTAATTTATGTCTGTAAAGCCCCTGTGCCAAATGATGGCTATGCCTTTTGGTGCCTGTAAAACTTATTGTTTTTGAAATATTAATGTTTAATAAATTATAATGACAGTCAATGGAACCTTGCATTAGTCCAATACTGCCCCCTGCTGCATCTACACAATATGGTACTGCACCATAGTTTCATAATATTTAAACTCAGAAGTTCAGTGATTACAATATTAATATGAATGTATTTTGATATTTTACTGTAATACTGTCTTTATGTTGTCCAATTGCTGTAATATATTGCACTTAAGTGCCAATAATTGCATTGGCAAGGTAAACTTTTTCTGTATACATACAAACCAATCCCTGGGTTTGTCCTCTGCCACATCTCCTATTGTCTCATGATGAGCACTGTGGGCTTTCATGCGGGAGATCAGGGTTCAAATCCAGCTACCGCAACTTTAACAAAAATCTCTTCAAACTTTATATTGTCACACAATTACCTTAATTACACACACCTGCTGACGTGACAGGCACAAGCTGGTATAGAAAACACATTTGAACTTGGTCAAAGTTCATTCTGAAAGTCCAATGCTCCTGCATACATTGTCCTACAGCTGCCATTGTAATTTCTATCTGTAAAGGTCCTGTGCCAAATGATTGCTATGCCTTTTGGTACCTGTACAACTTGTAGTTTTTGAAATATTAATGTTGAAACTTTATTCCAAATTCATAAAATGAGAGTCAATGGGGCCTTGTAATGGTCCAATACTGCCTCCAGCTGTACTCAACTTGGTACTATGCCATAGTTTTTTATATTTAATCTCAATAGTTCAGTGTTTACAATACTAATATGATTGTATTTTGATGTTTTACGATATCATTATCTTAATATTGCTCTATTGTTATAATATTATGCAGTTTAGTGTCATTGGGCCTCATGCAAGAACATTTTCGTATTCTTATCCTAAATTTCTCTTACTTTTGTTCGTACAAAGAGTTCGTACGAGCATGTCACGTCAGATTCAGCAAACTCTTCTATCTTCAGGAAAAGTGTGTAAATGAGCTGCGTAAATTACACCTGTTCGTATCCAGCTGCTCGTGCACGTGAGAGGAGATTAGTGTAATTACCACCCCAAAAACACCATATAAGGCTATGTTTCCTGCCTCAGATACAAGGAAGTGTTCATTCATTCATGAAAATGACAGCGAAAACTAAAAAGAACTTTACGAGTTCAGAGATTGAAGTCCGTCTGTCAGAGATCCAGAAAAGAAAATCTGTCATTTTTAGCAGGTCAGCTGTGGAATAAAAAAGAGCTGCTAAAAGTATAAACAACTGTGTTAAATCATTTTCATTTATTCAGAAGCCACAGCGCTGCGCACCGTACCCCCCCCCCCCCCACCCCGCACGCGCTGCGGTGGTCTCAGATGCGGGTTTGAAATAAGCATTTTAAAATGTTTYCAAAATAAGTCTAGCACTTTGGAGAAAACCCAGGACTCGCTGGAGGGATTATGTACCCCCTCTGGTCTGGGAATGTCTCAGAGTCCCCCAGGACAAGCTGGAAAGTGTCACTGCGGAGAACAACCCGGAGGAAAACCCGTCTGGATAACAGCAGACTGACTGCTCGTAAAATATACGACAGGTCTGGACCACTCATAAATTTTGTTCGTATCTGAAAAAAATCTTAGAATACGAAAACATTGGTGAATGCCACAAATCCTCCTAAATCACTCGTATGCACAATTTAAGAACAAATCTGTGCATACGAACGGTTCTTGCATGAGGCCCAATAATTGTATTGGCAATGTGGCCTCTTTCTGCACACATAAAAACCAACCCCTGGCACCACACCCTGCCACAGCTCCATTGGTCTAATGGTCTATGTCACGGGCTTTCATGTGGGAGATCAGGTTTCAAAACCCAGCTAACGCAACTTTAACAAAAAATCTCTTCCAACTTCATATTGTCACTCACTTACCTTAATGAAAAACACCTGCTGACATGACAGGCACAAGCTGGTATAGAAAACACATTTGAACTTGGTCAAAGTTCATTCTGCAAGTCCAATGCTACAGGCAAAGCCATGCTGCAATGCACACTTGTTTTTACATCGTAAAAACCCATGTCTAGTTTATATTGTATCTTTACACTTCCAGCAGTGTTATAGGAGATAATTATTTGGCTTTACTATTTATTTGGCTCAGTGGTTTGAACAGAGGCCTCACAGCAGGAAGGTTCTGGGTTTGATCCCTGGTTTGGATCTTTCTGTGTGGAGTTTGCGTGTTCTGCTTGTGCTTGTGTGGGTTTTCTTCAGGTACTCAGGTACTGGTCTCCCTTTCAAAACAGCTCTGTGATCTCAGTGGGTTTTGTCTTGTTAAATAAAGGTTAATAAATAAATGTATTTACACTGAAGACTGTTGGTCTGTATCACATTACAATAAAGTTTCTATTTCAAATACAAAAAAATGGAAATTGGAAAAAAAAAAGGGAAAATAATAAATACATTTACCAAGTCAAAGAAACTGTCTAAAGCAAAAATGTTATGTTATGTTTCACACAGAAGCATTAAAACAAACCTCAGACCAACCTAATTTAGGATTTTTTGTTTTATTTGATTTATTTTTTTTGTTTTAGGTGTTACTGTACTTTAGATTAGTTTTGCTCATCCTTCCTTCCTTCCTCAGTAATATTTGTAGCTCCTCACACACCACCTGCCTCCAATTATGAATCAGCATTTAACATTAAACTCTCACACAGCACATATAGTTCCCACCCCCTTGTCTCGAGCTTGTTGCACAGTTTTCTTTGTCTCAGTCATACCTGTGTTTGTGTCCTTAACTCAACTCACCCCTGACTGTGACAGAACCACTGTGAAGTGGCGCTGCTCAGACGAGCCGTTAGCTTTACTCACTTGTGATTGTTTTTATGAGATGAAAACCCCGTTCCAAAAAGTCTAAAGATCCTGTTCAGGGTTTAAAACGTACCTATCTGACAGCGGTTTCCACTGAAGCCCTCCTTGCACACACACTGAAAGGATCCGATCTTATTTTGACAGGAGCCGTCATTCAGACAAGGCTGCGACAGGCACTCGTTGATCTCTGTCAAAAAAAAAATTAACAAGTGTTGATTGTTTTCTTTTCATATGTTTTTATGGAGGGGCTGTGTGTGTCGATGCGTGCTACGGACCCTCGCAAACAGGCGGCCGGCTCCAGTCTCCCTGGATGCCACAGGTGCTCTGAGTGGCTCTGGGTACGGACGTGAAGCCTGAGTGACAGATGTACGAGGCAACGGAGCCCGGCGTTGTTGAGGAGAACTGGACCTCGGCGTGTTTGACGTGCGGGGGCGGCCCGCAGCCCAGCTCTGAAACGAACACACACACATGCCTCCTCGTGATGGCTGCATGGTAACAGCGGCACAAAAACAGCCGCGGCTTTAAAAGAGCTCATCGCGCCGCAAGCAACTGAGGTGATTTCCATCAGACTCCCTGTGCTCGCTCTGCTAAAAATACCTTCAGCATGTTGTTAGAGTGTGCAGACATGAATCACCCGCTCTAATCAGCTCAGACTTTATATAGCTGATGCATCTATATCTGGATATTTAGGGCCTCCAGTGCAGCAACACAGCTAAGATTATCTGTAGGTGGAAAACTAGTATCTGTTGTCCGAGGCAGCTCTGTGTAAATGTCAACATCAGTCAGAGGTCAGGACATTGCTGCGCGGTGACATACGGTCTGCTCACCTGCAGAGGTTTGCACTGAGCTCCTGCTTATCTGACAGCGCCTGCCGCTGAACGCCTCGGTGCATTCACATTTATATTTGCCCAAGTAGTGAAAACATGTCCCGCCATTCAGACAAGGACCGGAGGAGCAGGGGTCTGGTTTCCCTGAAAGAAAGAAAGAAAAAAAGTAAAGAATTTTTTTATTTATTTTTTTGCAGTACTAGTTTTTAAACAGCAAATATTTTCACTTCCCGTACATATTAAATACTTTAATAAAGTGGTTCCCAAAGTTTTCAGCTTTTGACCCACAAAACAGCAGCAGCAGAGACCTGCAACCCCAGCTGTTGTTGGTTTCACGTCAAACAAACAAGAGCATATAAACAATATTTATTACTCTCTTTTTGTCCATTTTAAGTACACTAACTTTACTCATTTGTAATATCAAAGCCAAAAAATATTGATAGTTGTAATTTTTTAGTGTAATTAATTCAGAAAATCTTTTCAGGACCCCACCTTGATGTTTCCGGACCCCACTGTGGGTCCCGATCCCAACTTTGGGAACAACTGCTTTAATAGATAAAGGTTTTCTCAGGACAAGTTTTCACAATAAAGAGCAGAATTAATTAGGAATGTGAACTGCCTTGCAGCCTTTTATGAGTTTTAAAATATGCAGAGTTCACACCGCATCAAATTTAAGCACAATATCGTCAAAACTGGATGAGTTATGGCCTTTTTTTGGTCTTTTCTGAGGTCAGTAAGCTTAATCTTGAATTGAGTTTTATAATTTCCTCCAAGCTTAATTAGAATCTGCCCAGTGGCTCGTGAGGTGGAGGAAGAAGTCGGGGGAAGTGTCAGCTACTGCCACCTCAGTTTAGGTCATCGGCTGTGAAACTGAGAATGAAAGTTGTAGCAGTTGTCTTATTTTAAAATGAGTTGGCTATAGGTTGGCACCAATGATTGCTTTCAGATCAAGATATATCAACTGATTCATAACAAGAGATTATTGTCTGCTTTCAACCAAAAATAAATCTCAGCTTCTCTATGAGGTCATGGTTCCAGTGTTTAAGTTGTTAGAATTTCTCTTCTTTTTAAACCAAATGTAACATTTAGCAGAATAGAGGCGCATCAGTTCAACAGACTTGCAGTTTTTTATCTTTGCCTTTTTTTAGTAGATTCCAATATTTTTTTATTAAAATTTAAGGAACTTTATGCTACTTTGCACCAACTTTGATGTACTTTATCTGTTTAAATTATTATTATTATTATTATTATTATTATTATTATTATTATTATTATTATTATCATTATTATTATTATTATTATCCTCAAAAAGTCAGTAAATTAGTGTTTGGCCGATTATTTCTTTGTTGTAACAATAAATCTTAGAACTGATTGGCAGCACCTGGAGCTACCAGAAACTCAAAACAAGAGTTAATAATAAAATAAACTGTTTGACAGAGATTTGGTTAATTGTTTATGTGAACAACCCACATCGGCTGTACAGCTCATCACACACATGCATGTTCCTTACAAATGTGGCACCGTTTAAAATAGAAATGAACAGGTTATTCAACAATATAAGATTTATTACCAGGAAGCATTGTTACAACAAAGAAACAATCCTTAAAAACTAATTTACTGACTTGTTGTGCCAAGTTTAAATCATAACTGTTCAATAAAAAATGAAGTACACAGATGATCACAACACAAAACATTTGCATAATCATCCTTAGATATCTTTACAGCTCAGTGATTTGGTACAAAAAACCAGACCTGTGAGAAAAGTCTGTACACTGCACACTAAATCTTTGGAACGTGACATCGGGGCGACACTCACCCACTTCACAGTGTTTTCCAGTGAACCTGTAAGGACACACACATCTGTAACTTCCTGCCTCTTCCCTACACGAGCCTCCGTTGCGGCAGGGGTTAGAGGCACAGGTACTGAGTCTAACTGGAAAGAGACAGGGGGAAAAAAAATCATTGAAGCAGAGCGCTCCAGCTTTTAATCACAATCAAAACGCATCCCTTCTGCTTCATTGCAATTCAAGCAATAACTCAGGGAAATAGCCCATAACTCATGCACAAGTACAAATTATCCTAAGCCTTTGAGCATCACAATATTTTAAGCAGCATTACAAGTGATGGCATGTTTCCTGGGGCACGACGAGCTGCTGTTGGGCTGCAGAGTGAATCATAACGCATGGATCTGAAGGACGTTTGGATAATGTTAGTGCTAATGTTAGCTGCTCTGTCTTCTCATCAATGATTGTACCTTTTTCACAGTGGTTCCCCCAGAATCCATATCTGCACTCGCAGGTGTAGCCCCCGTCTCGCTCGTAGCAGTACCCCCCATTTAGACAGGGGGAGGAGTCGCAGACCGATTGGGGCTGTACTGAAAAACACATAAAAAGACTTGACTGTGTTCCACTGCAAGGGGCAGTAGTAAAGCTCCTGAGTTTTACTCAAGGATGCAGGCTTTTAAAACCATAAACTATCCTTTTTGCTAGAATTAAAGACGGCAGTATTTCAATGACATTGATCGTTTGTAAATGTTCAAACACCACCTCCAGTGGAAACTGCCAATGTGAGCTCGTTATTTTAACTTTGCCAAAGTGCCTCAGTCTCTTACCATAGGGGTAAATGTCCATGGGGTCGAGGTCTACTGCGGTATAACACGTGCACATGTAGGTCCCTCCGTACTCCAAACACGGACTCCCATCGGGACATGGTCTGCTGTTGCTGCACACTGTCTGAGTTACTTCTGAGGGAGAGGAACGTGACAAGCTGGTACACAAGCTCGGGGAAAAGGTCTCTCAGGTGGAGACGTGTGCCGTCTTACAGTGAGCCGTTCAGCAGCGTGCTCATGAGACACCTGACAGGATTATAGAGATCATACGCACCAAACTGACAGTAGTGTCCTGTGTAGCCTGGGGGGCATTCGCAGGTTCCATTCGTGTCCACGCAGACGCCCCCGTTTTGGCAAAGACATTCCTCTGCAGGCACGGGGAAACAGACAAATTAGGTTTTCAGTTTTAAACTTAAAGAAACTTGGCGCAAAAAGTCAGTAAATTAGTGTTTGGTAGATTATTTCTTTGTTGTAACTTATACTGTTGAAAAATCTGTTAATTTCTCTTTTAAACTGTGCTACATTTGTAAGGAACATGCATTTGAGGGATGAGCAACAGCGCTGAGTATGATAGTTGTTCACATTAAAAATGAACCAAATCTTCACTGTCAAACATCTTATTTTACTGTTAGTAACTCTTATTTTGAGCTTCTGGTGCTGCCAATTAGTTCTAAGGTTTATTGTTACAACAAAGAAATAATCAAACACTGATTTACTGACTTTTTCTTCTAAGTATATAAACAGAAGGTTTTATTAGTTAGCCTCAGCAGCACATTTTATTTACTACACATTAAACTATATATTGATTTTTTCCTTTTTTTCTGCAAAGCTAACAGGATCAGCACGTTGCACATCCGCTCCATGCAAACCGTAGGAATGTTTTTGTTTTCCTCTCCCGGCTAATTGCAGCAGTGGATCAAAGGATGTGGCTGCATCACGGCTAAGTGGCTCCACCTTTGAAGTCCCGGGGAGCTCGGTGGATGGGGGAGGTGGGGGATTAAATTTCTGATGATACGGGGCATATTTCGTGACCAAAAATGCCTGGCCCTGGGGGCAATTAATGGATTGTTAATTTAGCGAGAGCCCTTTTGATTGGCCACCTGTGCAGCACGGACCCTTTGATCTGAGAGCCTGATTAGGCACTTCTGAGTCCCGCTACCTTCTCTTCCTTCGAGGATCGTGCTTCTTTTTTCCGCTGCGCTTTCCAAGTGAGCCGGGCAGGAAAGTATTTGGGAGATTTAAGAGAGCCTGTATAAGCACTGAGAGTTATTTCAGCTTAAGGGTGAGAAGTAGCGTGCATTTATAACAGCTCAAATGCTATTAAAGAGCTATTTTTTCTTGGGACTGCTATCAGTAAGTAACAGTAAATAATCACGGAAGTCTGAAAAAGCTTCACTGATGGAGTCATTTCCTTTAACAAGTATAGAAGGGCACAGATCATAAATAAGAAATAACAACTTAATATGGATTAAACATATTTTGGCTGCATTTGCAAGCAGAAGCTGAGCTTTAAACGATAGTGTGATGCCATGGCCGACTTCCAAAGAAGCAAGTGTGGAAGTGTGCATATTTTACTAGCTCAGTCTGAAGAAACGAGCTGAATACCAAAACACGGCTTCAGCTCGTAAAGAAGCCTTTTTAAGTCTAGACAAAGCACTTCCTCTTGTTGGTAAACTAATAAAATCTGCCGTAAAACAATTATTCACAGGATCCAGCCACCGGTTCTTGTAGTAAACTGGGTGAGGCCGTGTCAGTTTTGATAATTACGATAATCCATCATTACAGCGACTCCTTCCAGGGCAGAGTTCCAAATTCCTGTGGGATAGCTGCACTCGTCTTCAAATACCACAGTCTGCTCTCTACCTGCCCAGCTGCCTGCAGTTAGCGTCGGTGAACTAAAACCCTCACACTCGTCACCGCCGAGGCCTGCAGCGCAGCTGACAGGTCCTCACTCCTGAGCTGCTGTAGCCGGGTGTTTACTCACATTTAAACATGTTGTGCTCTAAAAGCTCTATGTCAAATATTACGACCAAGCTTGTTCTTATTTTACCTGTTTGATTCAGTGCCTCTGAGGAATTCATCTGCTGTGTCATCAGCTCTGAGAGAGGAAGGAAGAGAATACGCTTTAGCTGCTTCACACAATGAAACAAACAAATTAAATGATGGTTTCATTAACTTGTCTTCACATTTAAAGTGCTTTTGCATTGGATTTTAGGTGCCTGCATTTAGATTTAAGTACTACCAATTGAAATGGAGATAAATGGGATTGTAATGCATTACTGAAAAATTCTACATCGTATTCAGACTTCACATCTTGGACATAAAGGTCTGAGTCGTACAAACTCTAAATTATCTGCACAGCTAGAGTCCAGGTTCATAATGTCAACAGGCATTTCAGCACGTTAGAGGTAAGAACATAAATCTTTGATTTCTGTGGTTGCATCACAAACCTTGCTGTTACTGTCTGTTCAGACTTATCTGAGCTGCTCAGTCTGTGTAAAGAACTACAGATTTCCATTCACAGACGATACAGTTTACAGTAAACTAATAGTGAATTGAAACTAAAAGTTGTATAATTTCAGACTGAAGTTGTTCTATTTGACGATTTGGTGCTGAAAAAGTGGCAAAGTTCCACCTCAATAGTTTACATCAGAGGATGCTGCCTTTAAGGCCTTGTCTTTCCTGTGGGACATTTGGGTATTTTTTATTAATAAAACACAATGTTTGCAGAGAGAACGAGACAAAGTCACTTGTTAAACACTTCATTGCTCAGTTCTCTTAATGTCAGAACACGTGAGGGAGAATGAAAACATTTCGGAGTGAAAAAAGTGTTGACTAGAAACATGTCGCAAACTCCTGATTTGGTATTATTTTATTATATTTTTTAAGATATCTTGAAACAGATGAATCAATTATTATTAAAAAAACATTTTCAGTTGATTATATAGTAAAAATCTTAAACAACTGCAAAACATTTGATGAACCTCTTACACACCGATTTTGTTAGCTGTTATGAAACAAAGCATGACTGAGTAATAAAATAAGGTCACAAAAGATTTCAATTTTTCAAAGTATGTGACAAACTGAAGGCCTGCAGGCCAAACGTGGCCCTCCACAGCACTGTATGTGGCCTGTGAGCACTTCAGAGATGGATTAATGTCTTAAAATGATCTCTTTTAAAGCCAGCATTGATTATAAGCTACATCTCCCAAAATGCCTGTTGATTATTTTACCTGTGAAATGACAACATCCCACCACTAGGAGGAGCTGCACAGGGTTCAAAAGAAGTCGACAGCCGGTAAAATTTACCATGTAAAATCTACATTTAACTGCATTTTTATCAGCTGCTCTTGATGCAGCCCAGTTGTACTGGGAAGTGGTAATTTCCCACTTACAAGTTGTTAATTTAAATTGGAATTCCCCACCTGTGGGAATTCCCAGTCAGAAAGTGGGAGAACTCTTACTTTTCCTTTTTAAAGTATTTCTGTAATTTATTTTATATTTAGTCAGTCGTACTTTTCAGTGTTTATAAGACGACGTGTTAAAAGGCTGTTTCTATGTAGGAAATACCAGGTAGAGCTCAGTTACTGTTTGTTAGTGATGCTCAGTTGCACAGTATATATATATATATATATAGCAATGAGACGAGGAACATGATGTTTCATGTTCAGTTAAAGTTAAACATGAAACCTTGAAGTCAAATATAACTAACCCTTTGAGGACCACGAACCATGATGCTCATGTGGTCCTCAGTGAAAATGAGTTGGTCATCGCTGCTCTAAACTTTATCAGGTGAGTTTAGCTCCACAGATAAAAACCTTCAGCACACAGTACTGTGGCAACAAGTTACCTGTTTCACAGAATGCTCCAGTGAAGGCAGCAGGACACACGCAGCTGAAGCCGTCCACCTGATCGATGCACTGTCCTCCACTCAAGCAGGGCTGGGACTCACATTCGTTTATATCTGAAGGATCCGCAAAAATATTTATTACAAGACAAGTTGAGAGGCTGTTGTCTGAGGAGCCGAGGCGGATTAGAAGGAACGAACTTGTGAAATCTTAGAGTTTTGTTGAGCAGGTGTTTGGGATTAAAAATAATCTGGTTCCATGGAGAAGGGGGGATTCATAAACTTGATACAGCCTGATTATTTAATTTCTGGCTGGATTTAGGTTTAATTAAAAAAAATCACTCAGAAAAAATGGATAAAAACGAGCTTTTAAAGTTTGTTGAAACAAAAGAAAAAGAAATAAACAAAAGTTTTAAAACTAATTCAAATGTAAATCATTTTTCTAGAAAACCAGGAAATGCATTGACAGAAACATCTGGAAAACGACTGAGTTTAATGTAAAAACCACTGAAAATGATTCCATCTGGAGCGGAGAGGCTGCTCACCTGTCTCACACAGGACACCAGTGTAACCAGGCTCACACACACAGGTGAAGTTACCAACGTCCTGCACACACGACGCGTTGTTCAGACACGGCCTGGCCTCACACTCGTCGATGTCTGCAACACACACACACACACACACACACACACACACTGAGTATTTACTCAGCTGATCATTATATCCGCCACACAACTCCCCTCATTCTGAAAGTATGTGCTGCTGGCTGTGAAGGTATTTGGATGAAGGTCTTTAGAAGAATTTGGGTATTTCTAAAGACAAGACACCTTTTCAGATAAAAGTTGTCTTTTCTTAATTAATTTTTTTTCAAATAATTTATTATTTTAAAGTTTCACACAGAAATTAGCAACGGATCCCTGAGATGTTCTTTTTGAAAACATTTTATAACCCAAACAGAGCAGAGTGTAAAACTTTAAACACTTACACATCTGAAAGCCAATATAAAAATATGATAAAAAAAACCAATTAGAAGATGAAATTATTCTTACATTATATCATCAATTATAAATAATACATCTGCTTTTACAGTTCATCAAGTTGTATCCCGTTTCAAAGACAGAATCACAGTCGTGCAAACATCTGGTTTCTATATCTGTTAGGGTCAGAAGTTTACATCCACTCATGAGCATGAAGGATTTTATATTTTCAGAATTAAAATGATGTATTCAGATTATACAACTTTACTGCTTTTTATAAAGCTTAACCTTCACCCTCAGACACACAGTGGTTATCACTGCCAACCATAGGTCTGACTGATGTTTCTCAACTCTTCTTGGTAGAACTGGTGGAGTTCATTAAAACTGGTTACTGATTGAGCAAAATCTACAACAGTGTTGAGATTTTGGCTCTTCTATTTGACCACTTCAGCATTAGCATTAAGTACTTTTACACTTTTACTTTGGTAAAAAGCTTGAGTTGCTACATTAAAACAACCTTTAGCATTAAGCCCTTGGAATACTCAAACTGACCTGCTGAAATCCACTCTCATTGTCAGAGTTGTTTGTCAGGGGCTATGAAAGGTGTGTCAGCTTCAGATTGAGTATACTAGACCCTATAGCCTTCTTTATCCAGTTCTGATGTGTTTGGGATCCTCCTGGAACACCTCATTGTGTCAAAGCTTCAAGCTTTTTACCATTACAATCACTCTGGGCAATCCACCAGAACCACAGCATGCCACTCCCACCACCGTGCTTGACAGCTGGTGCAGTGTTCTTTGGTCTGAAAGCCTCAGCTTGAATCCTCCTAACATAACGTTTTATCTTTGTGGACAAACAGCTAAGTCTTTCTCTTGTCTGACCACAAAACTTTTCTCCAGCAGGTATTTGGGGCAGGTTTGCCACGCTATTGGAGCAGAAGTTTCTTTCTCGGTCCGTAGTGATGCTGTACTGGTGTTTCAGCAGTTTCCAGTTCAGGACAGGCTTCAAATCTGTGGTTCCTGGGTTGTTCCTCTACATCCTAACCAGTTCCTTGGACCTTTCCATGGTTCTACACATTCTTTGAGAGCCAAACCTTTGTTCAGAGTGTTTTCTTTTTTTTTAAACTCCTGAGATATTTGGATTAGTAGGACCTCGGAAACAAAAACAAATGTTATTTTGAACAATTAATAGTTAAAAAATATATACTATAGTTAGCACAAAAAGTCAGTAAATCAGTGTTTGGTAGATTATTTCTCTGTTGTAACAATAAATCTTAGAACTGACTGGCAGCACCTGGAGATACCAGAAGCTCAAAACAGCAGTTAATAACAGCAGAATAAACTGTTTGACAAAGAAGATTTGGTTAATTTTTCATGTGAACAACCCACATACTCAGCTCTACTGCTCATCACACACATGCATGTTCCTTACAAATGTGGCTCCATTTAAAAGAGAATATGAGAGACTTTCGAACGGGTTAGGATTTATTACCAAGAAGCATTTTTAGAACAAAGAAACAATCTACCAAACACTAATTTACTGACTGTGTTAAATATATATAATTAAAGGCAACTTTAAGGACAAGTTTAAGTTAAACAGAATAAAATATTACATTACAGGGAAGCAAGGCAATTGGTCAATTCAATAAGTCCATTTTATGCTGGCCAAAAGAAAATACCAACTGCAGTCAATCATAATTACTAATGAGAAGTTGTTAGGTCTTGTCCATGTTAAGCTGAAATATATTTTAGAGCTTTCTGCACTAAAAACCAGACCCTTGTCCTTCACTTAGCTTCATACGAGGGTCTGGACTCTCGGCTATAGAAAAGTGATTCTTGCTGGAGGCGTGGCCTCTGCTGAAGTTTAAAATGATTGGATCGGTTGGCCGCGATGTATGCATGCCAGCTTCACTGTGAAGCAGGCTAAGCAAGGAAGCTAACAGGAAATCGCGTGTGCTGTAAACAACCCTACTGAGAGGAGAAAAGTACCGAGCCGATTGAGACGGTTGTAAATGAGAGCTGCTGCTTTGTCAGACAAATTTAATTTAATTTGGAAGCCTTATCAACACAGACTGGCTTCATTCACTTCCTCCACTGCCTTATGCTAAAATAACTAGCAGACACTGCGCAGAACATCGACGTCGTTCAAAACTTCGCCTTCATTTCTCTGACTGGCCCGAACAAAATTCTGCTGAAGAAATCCTTGTCTATGGGAGAAATCCCAGACGGAGCAGTGAAGGGAAACTAGAATTAAACAGAACTGTGTTGGAAGGCAAAGGCCAGGCTACTTCTGCACTACCAAGTCAGATGTTTGTATTTTCTATATTTTATTTCATATTATCTCATATGGGTTAAAAAATGTAGAACAAATTCAGCTTGTGCATCTAATTTTTGCATTTACAAACATCACTGAAGTTGTGTTTGTATAATCGTTCCACCCTGAACAAAAGATGTTTTAAATAAATGATTAAAGCCTGAAATGAATGACATTCATATCTAAGATGAGTGGATGTAAACATCTGACAACAACTGTAGGATAAAGAATTCGTCGGAAACTAGAAACAGAGCTGCCACAACACATAACAGCCGTTACAACAAAAGCACACATGGAAACCACATTTCGCATGTAAAACACATGTTTTTGCAAAAGTTTTCTTTCACGAATGTGTTTCCATGTGAAGAATAAGGTAAATTTGTGATGTTTGTATTTTCTGTGGGGCGAATGAGGTAATTTGGTAATTGTACCTGTTTCACAGAGCATCCCAGTGTATCCTGGAGGACACTGACAGAAGAAGCTGTTTATCTGATCACTACACATCCCTCCATTCTGACACGGGCTGGAGGAACACTCGTTGACATCTGCAAGGAAAAGGAGAAACAATGTTTTTAATTAGGCGGAAACATCTGGTGAGTGAATGAGCTCATTTCCCCACTGTCCTGGCACAAAGCAGGTACAGGTATTAGGGAAACGCTCAGGTGTTCCTCTGGAAAGTCTTGTAAAGTCAAGCGTTTTATTTACGAGTTGACATGGTTTTTTCCTGGCTGCTCTCACAAGCAGTCATTCACAGCGGCCAGCGTGAGTCAAGTTCAACAGAGCAGGAAGCGGCGTCAGCCGTAACTCACTGATCTGACAGCGGCGACCAGTGAAGCCAGCCAAGCAGGAGCACGTGAAGGAGGGGTTTCCTGTAATGCAGTCATCGATGCACTGGCCTCCGTTCAGGCACGGGCGCAGGTGAGGGCACACTGATGCTGAGGAAACAAGTCAATGTAACAGCAGTCCCAGAAACAACTTTAAAATAAAAAAAAAGGGTTCAAAGGAGTATTTAAGAAAGCTCTCACCAGAGTTGCAGCTCCCGACTTCTACATTTGCGTCGTCTATGCGGAAGACCCATCTGCCTGGGTAGCCCACGTTGGTGGTCCGCTCGACGTTGACCACGTCGGCAGTGCGGGAGCCGGGGATGTTGAAGTAGCGCTTGCCGTCTCCGGCGTTAAAACCTGCCTGGGAAGAGAGAGGCAGAGAGGAACAAAAGATACTGTAGCTGAATGACAGAGCAGACGTGTGGAGCAGAACCTGACTGTTATCACAGAGGAGAGAATTGTGTGATCTTACCTGCGCTGCGATCCCCCCCAGCCCCACCAGGTTCCCCCCGCTGCTGGAGTGCCTGCCTGTTGTCCAAGTGATGTTGTTGTACTGGAATATGGTGAAGGAAAGATCTCCGTCTGTAATCAGCACCACTTGGAAAGTATTAATCTGCAGAGGAGAGGGATAGCTTTGGTGAATACAGGATGATTTATAACTGATCCATGTCTTCAGCACATAGTACAGTTTTATTAAGTCAACATTTACAAGCATGTCAAGCCAGGACCACAGAAAAACAGGTTTATTAAACTTAAATGTAGTTACTGCTTTACATATGTAAATATAAAACCTCAAACGCTTAAAATACTAATCTGAAGATCTAATTCTGAAGTCTTCATGATCAGTTAATCTGCCAGAGAGCATTTCATCTTTTTTCTTAGTGGTAAAAACAGAAATTTAGACCTTTTACTTTCATGTCTTTTTTTAACCGGAGGTGTAAATTAACAAAGTACAAATACTTTGTTAATTTAAGTAAAATTTTTGGTTACTGGAGTAATGATTTTTCAGGCATTTTTTTGTAATTATCTTTTTATTGAATTTTTACTGGTGTCAGTGTAACTCAAGTACTGTTATAGCTGTGAGGCAGGGTGAACCCAAATG